GAAGGGATACCTACACTCTGGGGATTGCTATAATCACTTACTCCCCAGAGGAAGCTCTTGCAATAGCTTGATTTGTTCCTGTTCCTGCTCTCTGGGGAAAGAGAGGTTCACCCACTGGAAGCTGGATCCTGGCCTTGGGTCCAGGGTGGGTGGAAACAGCAGAGACCCCGGCGCAGTTGCATCGCTGGAAGTGGGGTCTGCAGTGCTGATGGTGTCGGTTGGAGTGCTTGGAGTCCTCAGCGAGCACTAGGAGCATCGATTGGCGGAGGTACTCAGTCGGAGTGCCAGCGTTCCGTCACAGCCATCTTCGCAAGATTTGGTCCTAATTTTCATACGTGAAATTGTCCGTTTGCATGGCATCCCCCACAATATTGTGTCTGATAGGGGCTCTCAGTTTGTGTCCAGGTTCTGGAGGGCGTTCAGTAAACAACTGGGGATTGATCTCTCCTTCTCCTCCTCCTACCATCCACAGACCAATGGTACAGCTGAGAGGGCTAACCAGTCATTAGAAGTTTATTTGCGTTGTTTTATTAATAGCACACAAGACAATTGGTCCGAACTACTCCCGTGGGCCGAGTTCGCTAGAAACAATGCTGTTCATGACTCCTCTGGGCACAGTCCATTTTTGTCAATAATGGTAGGCATCCTACGGTTCTCCCTGCGGTATTTTCTGATACTGCCATTCCTGCTCTGGATGAGCGTCTGGCCTCCATTCGGGATACCTGGGTTAAGGTTCAAACTGCTCTAGGGGCTGCTGCTGAACGCTTCAAACATTTTGCTGATAAGCGTAGGAGTGCCAACCCGGTGTACCAAGTGGGGGACCGGGTTTGGTTGTCATCTCGCAACATCAAGCTTAAGGTCCCTAGCATGAAGTTTGCCCCCAGATTCCTTGGTCCCTATAGAGTGCTTCGTAGGATCAATCCAGTGTCTTACTCTCTGGCTCTTCCTGCATCTTTAGGGATTCCCAACACTTTTCATGTGTCCTTACTCAAACCTCTTGTCTGCAATAGATATACTGTTCCTTGTGTTCCTCCCCCTCCGGTGGTGGTGGGTGGTCAGGAAGAGTATGAGGTATCTTCTATCGTGGATTCTAGGTTTTCTCGGGGCACTTTACAGTACTTGGTTGTTTGGAAAGGTTACGGTCCTGCTGATCGTTCTTGGGTTTCGGCTCCTGACCTGCATGCGGGCCGTAAGATCCGCGCTTTTCACGCTAAATTTCCTCTCAAGCCTGGTCCTGTCCGCCCGGTGGGCGTTCTTCAGGTGGGGGGTAATGTCACATATTCATCCGCTTATAGAAATGTGGTTAATGACATTTACTGTCCACACAGGAAAAGTTGTGCCGAGCAGCAACCTAATCCACAGAAGGGTTAATGCTGAGCAGTAATTGTGCAAATGAAACCTGGTGTCATGTATTCATCCGCTTAGAGAAAAGTGATTAATGACATTTACTGTCCACACAGGAAAAGTTGTGCCGAGCAGCAACCTAATCCACAGAAGGGTTAATGCTGAGCAGCAATTATGCAAATGAAACCTGGTAACTGACTTTGGGGTCAAAGGCCGGTTACAGCCTATCAGAACTAAAGGAGGGGTATTTAGGCCCAGTTCTCAGCCTGCTCAGTGCCCTGTCGTGGTTTCCCTTGTGGTTGTCTGAGAGCGCGTTCCTGTTTATAGTTTTCTACCTGGTTTTTTACTTTGGCTTTGTTTATTGACTTCTCTATATTCTGGTATCCTGACTCCTGGCTTTCCTCATCGCTGTGTCCCTTTCTGTGTTCCCTGACCTCGGCTAGTATTTTTGACTATTCTTTGTACGTTAAATCCGGCCATTCTAAGGACTGGTAATACGTTACTTATTTGTCATCCGTGCTGTACAGTTCTACGTGCTGGATCAAACAGTAATCCTGACACTAAGGAAGGTAATGTCCACGAAAAAGAAGTAGAGGCCATGGCTAATTGGCCCCAGCCCCACACCAAGACGCAGGTATTTGCCTTCCTAGGTACCGCAGGGTATTACAGAAAGTTCGTCCCTGAGTACAACACCCTAGCCAAACCCCTTACCGACCTGACCAAAAAGTCCCTACCTAAGCAGGTCACGTGGTCCCCGGAGTGTGCAACAACGTTCCAGAGACTTAAAACAGCTTTGAGCGAAGCTCCAGTACTGGCGGCCCCAGACCCTAACAAAACATTTCTCTTCCATACAGATGCCTCCATGTTTGGGCTGGGAGCCATGCTGAGCCAGGTGGGGGAAGACAGCATGGAGCACCCGGTGGCATATCTCAGTCGCACGTTGCTACCTCGGGAGTTCAGCTATGCCTGGTGCTAGGATGGGCATTAAAGAAACTTCAACCGGATCGGGTTGAATAATAATAATAAAATATATATATATATATATTTTTACTACAATATAAACAGCTTTGTTAAACAGATTCAAGTACTTATCACAAGAAATATACAGAATACGTTTACAACAGGCAGTTTTAGCATAACTGCAAAGTTGTTTTTGGGGATTTATTATTGCCCAAGAAATCTCTGAACATATTCAGAATTTTTGAGAGCAGCAAGTATAGATAACAGATTGTAATGGACACCATTACAATATTGCTTTGCCGATAGAGGTCAGAGCTTTAAAGAATAAATAAATAAATGTTCTATAGCTCACTAGACCGCTGACTTTTAATGAACAGTTTGCACAACACTTATGAATAGTTTGTAATACTGCACATTATAGCTGTGATAGCATGATATACTGCTAAATATGCTATTTCACTGTTTAATCGACTTACCCAGTATTTAAGGATGACATGTTTCTTGCAAAGTCATCGGGAAGGAGGTAGGTTCTAACTAATTAATTAATTTTAAAAAAGAAAGTTTTGTTTTTTTCTGCAAGTGAATTTTCAGCGCAAGGTCATTTTGTGTTCACAAAAAAGCTGTTCTCTATCTCACATTATGAACGGCCTTGTAATTCCTATCCATACTAAAAGTTGGCTTTTAAATGTTATTGTTTTAACTTTAATATTTCATAGTTAATACAGAGGATAAAGTAATTTAAAGAAAGTATATTGAAAGTATATTAATTGATAGGATTTCATTTATCTATTTTGGTCCACTGTTCACTGATCTTGAATCTCAGTCTGGTGTTCAAACTGTTTTTCTTACGATACGTTGTGAGTTTTTATCCACAACTGCATTTTGCTTTGTGGTAACAAATTGAAAGCCTGGCATTGTAATACGTGTATGGACATGCTTATAACAAACCATGGGCCCTCTCAACATGTAGTTGGTCATTAACAGACACTTTGATGCAATGTGTCTTCCAACGCTTTTCTGTGGTCACTGGATCACATTGCATACCCTATCTCTCAGTCATGATGCAGAGTTTATGCTTGCAAGGATAACCAGACCCAACCCACCTGGTTATCCGCAAAAATACTCCTATCGTTTAGAGGGGTTAATTACATAAAAACCTTTGAAGGTAATATGTTGGTTGTTCTTCCTATAGAGGAAAGATAGACTTGCCCAAAAGCTTTTTCATGGCTAGGACAAGCTCTTATAGAGAGAGGTAATGTACTTCTGACTCCTGAAAAGGAATATTGGGGATTGTAATGGTAAATTAAGTAATTTCTTTATATTTATGAAGTTCTGAATTGCATAAATATAAAATAATACCACAAATAAAATAATAAAAGGTATACTGGTCAATCACATAAATATTAGTGAATATCTTGAATGAACAGACAAGAGGCAAAGTTTTGATGAAAGTATAAACAAAACTTTACTGGGAATACAATTATCAAGCACACAAAAAAGAAACAAATACTTTAAAAACATACACTGCTATAAACAATACATTCAGGTAAGAAATCTACTTAGCTCTATTCATGGAGATTCAGCAGCTTACACAGGATAATTGAATCAGCATAACACACAGAACAATGAGGTGAGTTCCTTGCCACATGTTAAATGGATTTACATGGGCACCTCTAAAGACACCTGGCTTCTTCCGACCCAGTCATGAAACTGAAACTCTAGTTTCTGGAAACCCCTTGAATAACCTCCCATCTAGTATCCACCCACAGAGGTAACATAACCAATACCTAATGGTCATCTCTAGGAGGCGGATACTACATGTGGTCCTTTGTGAAAGGAAGTGACTTAAGAATTCTCAATACCTTCCTAAAGCACATGTCTCATTGACTATGCGGCAGCCATCTTTATTCACTCGACGTCACAGTGCTCACTAGGCCACCTATAGGTCACTTCCTCCCTAAAGCACATGTCTCATTAAATATGCAGCAGCCATCTTCTTGCTCTTAATGTCACATAGCTCACTACACCCCCTATAGGTATCATAAGTTATTGCACATGAATGGGAACAAAATAATAGAACATTTATCATTGCCCATAACCAATACAATCCACCTGTTGATCCCATTACATGAGTAATAACTATAACTCATATATTTCTCGGATAGGTCTTACTTTCTTCATAGCTTGCTTTCCCACACATATAATACAATTTACAAAAAAATACAATATTATACATAAAACAACACCCACTACTACCCATTGCATTACTTTAAACCCTAAATTACCCAACCACCCAAAAGGTCCACTATCCGGTGGATTCTGGAGCTTCTTCCTGGTATCATTTATCTTTGAAATATCATGTGTTATTGCGCCAGAGTTATTGACAATATATGAGCAGCACTCTGTCCCTACCAACGCACAAACGCCTCCTTTGGCGGCCAAGACATAATCTAATGCCAGTCTATTTTGCAACACCACTGCTCTCATTTGTACCTGCTCTTGGGATAGTTTGTTAATAGCATCCACGGTTGCATCTAAAGCTTCATCCACTAGCATTTTTAAAGCTTCTATTCGAGTTAATGACCAATATACTCCCCAGCCGGGAAATACAATTCCAGAATTAGCTTCATGTTCTCCGATAAATGAACTCCACCGTTTATTTCTAATCATGCCTTCTGGAAAGCTATTTCTATGCCTTATGGCGGGGATGATTGATCCAATGTAACATTCTCCTTCCCATTGAGTAGGTAACCATCTATAGGCCCAATTACCACACAGAAAATACACACCTCTGGGAAGGACACTGTAACTATTATCTGGGGCCCCACTAAAACAAGTGTCCAGGAGTATAGAAATAAAGGGAAAGCTCAGTCTTTTTATTGCACCATGAGAGGTCATACTTATTACTCTCACCATTGGGCTGGAGTCTTTGACAGTCATTGCCCAATGTTGTTCATTACCATAGCCCTTTACCCAGGCAGATGTACAGTTAGAATATCCCATTTTAGTGGCATTGGCTCCATTGTTATGTGAACTGATACAAATAGCACCTTCCTGGGGGCGGTTTATAATATGCAATCTGTCCAATGATTGTGGCTTTCCTTCTTCTCGGTACCAGCCGAATCCTGTATTATTATATTGTTTTAACTCCTCCAATGTCCATGGAACACCAACATATGGGTAACTGCTCTCCTCGCTGAATGATATGGTCCCACAAATCCAGCAATCCGTGCTGTTTGACACTCTCGAATAACTTGCTAATAGATTCAGGTATGAGTTGGAGGACCAGGGATCCGACTTGTCTATATAGCCACCAATCTGTTGGAAGGAAAGAAAACAGGGTGAGTACCTCCACTTAGTAATACAACTTTAGTGTCACCAGGTCCATTGGACAGTATTTCTCCCTTCTGTTTGACCTGCTCACCTGCTCGTGGTAGCACCCATACTTTGGAACCTGTCTGTAAGGTATTGCTTTCCTCCCATGTCACTAATACTTTCCGTGGGATCCAAATGGATACCACGCCTAATACAGTGTGTGAGAAAATCTGGCCTGGACACCCCCTGGTCAATGGGATTTCCCACAAATCTGATAACACATTTACCATCCCTGTGGTCAACCATTTATCATCTCTTAGCTCCTCTGTTAGGGCAAAGGTCACTTCAGTCCCTTCTGGTAATATCCCACCCATGGGAAGGATGTATGTCATCCATTCATCACCCTGTACAATCTCAACTAGGTTCTGGCTGACCACTTTAAATTTGTTCTTCCCCACCTGTTGGGGGAAAGATCCCTTGAACCTTAATCGAACTGACACAGTTGGTGTCCCTACCTGTCCAGTCAATCTTTCATAAGGTGAAAACTGTCCTATTGGTCTACTATTTAGTATCATAACTGCCTGCGTGATCACCCGGTCCCACCCCCTCAATGTCCTACTTGGGGATAGCTTCCGAATCTGTTCTTTTAAAAGCCCATTGCACCTTTCAATCAACCCCGAAGCTTGAGGATGATAGGGGATGTGGAAGATCCACTTAATCCCTGAGTCATTTGCCCACTGCTGTACGAGCTGTCCAGTGAAGTGGGTTCCATTGTCTGTCTGAATCTCAGATGGCAGTCCATAAGCAATCACAAGAGTCTGTAGCATCTGAAGTGTTGAGGCCTGGTTCGCATGTTTGCAGGGTAATACTTTCAGAATTCCGGAAAAGGTGTCTACAGCAGTACAATAATACATCAGCCCCCCTCTTCCTTTAGGCATGGGACCAATGTAGTCCATCTGCCAGATCTGTCCTGCTATTGTTCCTTTATTTAAATGTCCACGGGCTTGCTTCGTGAGGGGCCATTTCTTAACCTCATTGCAGGTCTCGCATACTTCTTGAGCTTGGACAATCATCTGGAGAGTTATTGGTAGTCCTCGGGCTCGCGCCCACTCTAGCGTAGCTGCTTTTCCTCTATGACCCGCGGTCTCATGGGCCCAGTCTGCCATCCTAAGTAATACTGGATCAACAGGTTCTGGTGTTATTTTTGCTTCTCGTATTCGGGTCAATTCATCGGCTATCTTATTCGGGTTCTCTTCTCCAGTACTGTCTTTCACATGGGCATTAACATGTCCGAGGTGTATTAATCTTGATTGGGCTGTTTTCCATATATTTTCCCATAAATCTTCTCCTCCCCATACTGTCTTGCCATGTATTTGCCACCTGTTGTTTCTCCATGTAGGCATCCATGTAACACAAGCCTTGTACACAGCCCAGCTATCTGTATAGATGTAGAGCTCTGGATCTGTGGTTTCTTCCATCAGTATGACTATGGCAGTCAATTCAGCATATTGACTAGATCCTCCTATTCCCTTCTCTTGAATCACAATTTGTTGCTGAGGGTTGTAAGCTACTGCAGTCCAATGTCGTCCTTTGTGGGTCATGGTTGCAGACCCATCTGTGAACCATGCATTTTTCTTTTGTTCTTCACCCAGTTCTCTGAATGAAGGAGCTGTCTTGATGGGTGAGGGCTGTAAAATTGGGACTTCTTGTACATTGGGATGTGAAAGTGTATCATATGTCACTAACCCAGTAAGGAGTTTGGTCAGTTCCTTCACTTCACCTGCTTGGATCCCTCCTCTTTCCTGCAGGTACCACTTCCATTTTAATAATGTCTGACTTTGTGCCACTGTTGTCTTTGCAGATAATCCTTCATCTCGTACCCATCCTGCTATTGGTAAATCTGTTTTCACTGATACTATGCTTTTCTCAGTCATTGTCTCCACATGCTGCAGTGCGAGGTATGCTGCCAGAAGATTCTTCTCCAAAGGTGTGTACCTTTGCTGAGCCCCAGTCAATTGCTTGGACCAAAACCCAATTGGTACTGCCCGCTTGCCTTTGTCTTCGCTCGGTTGCCATAGTCCCCATGATGCTACGTTGTCGTTCACCATCACATCCAATATGAACGGAGCTCCAATTTGAATCGGGCCCAAGCCCTGATACTGCTTCCTTTGCTGCTTGGAATGCTGTAGCTTGATCAATTCCCCATACAAATGCTGATTTCTTTCTTGTAACATTGTATATGGGGCGTAGCAGCAATCCTAGATGCGGTATAAATGCTCTCCAGTAACCAACTGCACCTAAAAACTTTTGGGCTTCTGTTAACGTCTTAGGTTCTGGAGAATTCTGGATTGTATCCAGCACAGGCTGAGGTATCTTCCGAACAGGCCCAGACCACATCATTCCTAGAAATTTAACTTCTTGGGTTGGACCTTGAATTTTGTCTTTATTTATTGCCCATCCCCGTCCAGTCATGTAATTCACTAGAACAGGTAATGCTTCTTTCACTTCCTCTTTAGATCCCGAGATCATGATGTCATCAATGTAGTGAAACACTGGAAGATGTAGAGTGAGGTGGCTTAAATCCCGTGCAACTAGTCCATGGCAAATCGTAGGTGAGTGTATATATCCCTGGGGCAAAACTTGGAAGGTATATTGGCGTCCTTCCCAAGTGAAAGCAAATTGATCTTGCGACTCAGGTGCAATAGGAATTGAAAAGAACGCATTAGCTAAATCTATTACCGCATGCCACTCCCCGGCCTGTTTGGCAATGTTTCCCACAATGGTGATAATATCAGGGACAGCAGCACTCAATGGTGGTGCTACCTTGTTGAGTCCCCGGTAATCCACCGTCATTCGCCATGAGCCATCCATCTTCTTTACAGGGAATACTGGAGCATTGAACGGACTGACAGCTGGACGAATTACACCTGACTGTAAAAGCTTGTCGATAGTTTCACTAATTTCTCGACATCCTCCGGGCAAACGGTATTGCTTCAGTCTTACCGGGTTGCACGGAGGAGGAACAATGACAGGTGTCCAATTTGCATTCCCTCGCACAATGTCTTTTACTGGTCTGAGATAGCATGGCTTATGAGGGAATCCAAACGTGAACACCCCCCACTGTGTCTCAATACTCTACCCTAGTAACACATCTATTCCCAAGATATTGTCTGGCAATTCTGAAATCAAAACTTTAGCACTGAATCTTGGTCCTTTGTTAATTGACATAGCCACAACAGTTTGTACTGCTTTGGTAATTCTACCTCCTAAACCTTCTATTCTCACACAGGGTCCTGATAGCCTTGATGGATTACCATGCAGTACTGAGACTTCTGCTCCTGTGTCAACTAAAGCTAAAATCTTTGTTGGTCCTGGTCTTGTCCCCCACCACACAGTCAAAGGTACATAAGGGCATCGGTCCCCGGCGGTTAAAGGGGACACATGTACCGCCGGAGGCCCACCATTCTGTCATTGTACAACAGCACTGTCCCAATCCATCAAATCATGTGTCATCAGATCTTTTACAGGATACAAGGATCTGACTTTACCATCACTCTCTGGCAGTGCTTGTTTCTCACTAGATGTAGTATGAGAGTAAGTCCTAGCACAATATTCTGTTGGAAACAGTGAAGACATATGTGGGTATGAATGTGGGGGGGTGTTATCTTGGGCTTGAAGTGAGGGTGGGGGCACAGCATAGGGAGCACAATGTTGGAATAGAGGTATGGACAGAGGAGCTGTGTCTGTAGGCATGAGAGGAGTGTTTTTTAAATAACTAGGGGGAGGAGACTTTGGGACAAATGGGGCAGAGGGCATGGTATTGTCTGCCTGATCCTTGCATGCCAAATGTACCTGTACCTTTTTATTAGACCCTTTTTTAGATTTAACCATTTTTCAAACATGGCAGGTGTTGAAATTCCATTAATTTGTTCTCTAGGTACACCAGCCTCAATCAAATCATTCCACATTTGAAAACGATTAACTCTCAGCCTTGTTTTGTTCCTAAACTTTCCCTGCTTTTCTCCCTCTATTGGTTCCACCATCTCCTCCCTCGTCCTGTTAGCGGCAAACACACCTTTCCTAGGGTTAGATTCTGACTCTAATTCTCCAATTTCAGCTAAATAAATGGTGAGCTGATGTACCTTTACATTATTCCCCAAACTGCCCAGCAAAGACAATAAAGATGCCTTCATTTCCTGGGGTGCACTTTTTAAAAACCGAGACCGCATGCTGGCTGTGAATTCCTCCATGTCTGGACCTTCCCAGTTATCCTTGTTTAATCCCACCACACAACCCATAACTCTAATGCAGGTAATAGCATCCCTCGGTTTTGACCAGGGTGAAATGGGCTCAATGTCATTGCTAGATGGGAAGGCCACAATTATGGCATGCCGCACCATATCAAATAATGAAAAATTACCTCCAATCTCCCTCACCCTCCGTAATACCTGCATGAGCTGTGGATGCAGCGTCAGCTGCCCCATACATAATGCTTCCCTTGCATTCAACTGCACACTGTCAGCTCCTCCATCCCACATGCGCAATAACCATTCTCGCACATTTTCACCAACTTCATGCTTATACACCTTTGCCAGCTCCATGAGCTCTGTTTGTGTGTAACTTTTTACCACTTCATTCATCTCTTCATGTACACCATTTCTCAAACCACGCGCTCTATCTTGTAGTGTCCTCTTCCGCTGCTGTGTAATGATAGGACGGGCTTGTCACCTGTCCACATCATTATCATCATCAGAAAAGGATACATACTCATCATCAGATGACTGTAGCGGTGCTTCAGGATCCCATATGGGGTTTGCAACCATTGCTCGCACTTTACTTACAGGCACTGGCTTTTTTCCTTTCTGTGACCTCCTGCGGTTAATCTTGCTTACCACTAAAGTAGTAAATTTTTCTTCTAGGGCAGCCACCTGGCATGCATTACTACGCATACATTCTTTAGTCATAACTAATAAATCTTTTACATCCTGCAACTCTTTCTCGAGCGCTTTATTTCTCTGCACCTCGCGGCTATGGGCCTGCACAACTATCCACCCTGTGGTGGCAGCGGCTTTCCGCACTTTTTTGGAGTATACTCCCAGGTCTAACCGTAATGCTTGAGCACCAAGTTCAGTACCAGCATCAGGATAGACAGGAGCTGCATACTTGATCAGCTCCTCAGCAATGGGTTTCCAGTTTTCTAAACTGGCCCACAATGGAATTGTCCCATACTTAGACGCCTCCTTCCCTCTTGCTCTATTACTTTTTTTAAACAGAGTAAGCATCTTTACTCTCAGGGGGAACACAAAAATGCAAATATACCAATCAAAGACAATGCTTGTTAACTATATCTCTTTTCACTGTGCAACGTGACTGTGCTATAGGCTTATTCAATCTATATACACATTCAAATATTCTATATTTAGTGATTGTGCAGTATCCTGTTCACAGCGCCAGTTGTAATGGTAAATTAAGTAATTTCTTTATATTTATGAAGTTCTGAATTGCATAAATATAAAATAATACCACAAATAAAATAATAAAAGGTATACTGGTCAATCACA